TCTCTGAATATGTAAGTTAAAAGTTTTTGGTTGTATCTTTGACAGAATGTCCTTTGGCTGGTATCGAGCTGAGGTGATTGGCGCCATGGCCTCCGTCTTCATGATCTGGGTGATAACTGGCATACTCGTTTGGCTGGCAATTGGACGACTCATTAGCGGCGACTATGATGTGGATGCCAAGATCATGTTGATCACATCGGGCCTGGCAATTTTGGTGAATGTCATGTAAGTAGCATACCAAGAGGTAGTGGCCTAAACTGTCTAAACTGTCTATGCACCGTTCCTTTGTCTATTTGTCTGCCTGCATTTTGGCTGTGGCTCCCTTGGGCAGTTTTCCAATTGCAATTGCCGCAATCAACTTGTCCCGTGCCCGGGCCTGGTCATGGGCCAGCAAATGGGTCAACAATGCAACTCGGTCCTGGCAATGGCATTCCTCTCGATGCCATATCTTCTTAGCCAAGTCGAGCCATGCCGTACCTCCCCTACGACCCCGTTCGAGTCGTGCCAGTTGTTGCGGTAACTTTCTCCACATTTTAGCGACAACTTTTCCATCCGCAAGTTTCGAATTTTTTTTGCGTCAACAAAAGGCAAAAGCGACGCCAGCAATGACTGCGACGTTGGCGACAGAATTTTTGCTCTTGCCTGTGTTTGTGTTGGGCCAGTCCCAAGGTGCAGCCGAAGCACTTCTCATGCTTTTGCCATGCCTTTTCCCTTTTCCCCTTTCTATTTTCTTTTCGTTTTGGGCAGAGTATAATAACTTTGCGATGTGATTTACCTGCCTTAAAAGTTCTACTTAATTGAATTGCCGGAAATTTGTAGAATTTCGAGATTTCAATGCATTTAGTCGCAATTATATTGATTGTCAAAAATATTTATTTTATTTTACATATAGTTTGTTGAGAGCAAACCATAAATTAAATAAACCATAATTAAAAATTATTATTTTAATTTATAATTAATTTTTTAGGTAAATGCATAGATTAATTTAATTAAATATATTTAAATATATTAATTAATTTATTTATTTTTATTTTTACAACCTAACAAATACCAAATTAGTAGTAGTATATTTTATAATATAAAAAGTTTGTTCCCTTTCTTTTTTTTTGAATTGTAAAAAACATAAATTAATTTCATTTTAGATGTTTTAGTAATATATCATTATTATAATCTTTATGATTTTTTTAAATTTTAAAATTGTGTGTTTTGATTTATTTTAGTTAATTTTGAGTAATATATATATATATTTATTTTTGAATTAATTTTTTTTTTTTCTATTTTAAGTATTATATATTTAATATAATCCTTTTTTATAGAATTTTCTATGACTGAACTTAATTTTTAGCTATTTAATTTGATCGGCAATCGATTGCCTCTGTTTAAATAGAGTATTTAAGCTTCGGCTGCTTTCTTTGGGGCTTTGCGCTTTGTTTTGATTGCATCGTATGCAGCACCTGCAACTGTAGCAGCCATAGTTGCGACTGCTGCCCCTCCCCGCAATCCCCTCAATGTCCACGATCCCCGCATAGAGAACGTCTTTATGCCGCTTGGCCGCCCTCAGCTCTTAGCTCGTTCATGTGGCTGTCGAAGCATAGTTTTTGGCGCATAAATCGAAACGTTTCAATGCTCGGCACATGCTCGAGCGTGTGTGTGTGTGTGTGTGTGTGTGTTTGTGTTTATGTATGTGTTTTTGTGTGCGCGAAGACCCGCCGCTGCATGCCCTTTCGCTTCTGCTTGCTGCTGCTGCTGTTGTTGTTGTTGTTGTTGTTGTTGCTGCTGCTGGTAGTAGCGCAAATTTTCCAGTTGACGTTGGCATTTTCAGTGTTTGCCACTTGAATTGTTTGATTACGTGAATTGATTGTGAAAAACGTGCAGCGGCAGCAACAGCAACTTTTTCCCAACCGCCCCTCGCCACCCTAGCTCCATCTCACTCTCTTCCTCATTCTTTTTTTGTTCAACTAAGGGGCGTGGCACAAGTCCAGCCACGGTCCGGCTTCGGCGAAAAGCTGAGGGGCTGCAGGAGCGGGCCAAGGGGAGGTCATCAGCAAAAGAAAGTCAAGTCAAGTCAAGCTGAGGCTTGACTTGTCGCAACGTGTTTGGCTGCACGTCGAACAGCGAAATTAAATGGTCACCTTTTACTGTTATGCGATCTTGAAAGCTCCCTTCCATTGTCGTCGTTGCTGTTACATAGTGAGTGCTGTATGTGAATGGCTGGAGTGTAGGGTCTGCTAGCTGCAATTATTGTTATTATACCTATAAATACATGGGAGCTGGGGGATGCCATTGAATAACAGCTATATAAGTGATGGAGCTGTTCGTACTTAGGATAGAAAACAGTTACGATTATTATAGACAGTCATACATGAAGATTCTTATAATGTAGCAGGCATCACGTTCCATATTCTATTCTATCTTGCATATTTTCTATTTTATAAAGTTTCTATCAAGTTTCTATCTATCTAGTATCTATATATGTATCTATGTATCTATATATCTATGTATCTATGTATCTATGTATCTATG